AATCAAATAAGCGCAAAATAAGCCGTTGCGGAATGTTCTGTAACCCTTTGTCGCTAAGCCCAGCAATATACGACTATCAGCTGAATGGGGGGCCCGGGCCGCGAGCTTAACACGAGAGCTGAATGGGGGGTCCGGGCCCCGTAGCGGTGCCTGATTTAATGCAATGTCTATCTACTAACCGGTATTTAACAAGTTTATAGATGCAGATAATTATTACAGCTTAACGTGAAAAAGCTGCTGGGTTTAGGGCCGACCCACCGACAGGATGAATTGCATCAGAAGAAAAAACATCCATAAGGAAACAGCCAACGTCCACCTACCTCAACCAGTCGACTGCATCAATTATTTCCAATGATACAACCCGCCTCGTTTCGCCAAAAATCCGTCAACCACGAATAACCCCGGGTATCCCATTCAGTCTGGACTTGGAGCCACACATTACTAATTGCGAGGGATGACGTGGCCGAGCTGGGACCAGTCCAGTCCACCTCCTGCAGCGAGGACGGGGGGGAGGGGTAAGGTTGCCGACCCACCTGCAGACGTCCTGCAGCAGCGCCCAGCGCTGGTGGGACAGATCCGGCCCGGTGAGCGCCGACAGAAGCGCAGAGGTGAGTTGCATCAGGGCGGCCGCGCCCGGGTCGCAGCGGACGCCCCCGGACGCCGCGCACGTGGACGAGAGACGGGTTAGCCTGACGGGGCAGGGCAAATCAGGTCAGGTCAGGGCAGAGGTGGAGAGCTGAGTGGACTTTGCGGAGGGTAGGTCAGGTCAAGTCACAGTTAAGTGCAGTAAGTGACAGGCCAAGCCTAGTCACTGATCAGTAAAAGCCGTGCCATCCAGGCAGAGACCATAGTCGCAGTTCCGTCAGATCAGGTAAGAGGCCAGGTCAAACGACTCCAACAGTCACCCCACTGGCCCCGCCCCCATCCGCTGTCAGACCGCTCAGAGTCCCACGTTCACCCTCCGTCCCTCACCGTGTCATGAGCAGGTCGAGCGCTGCGCCCACCATGTTGCTGTTGATGACGTGAAGGCAGTTGTCGGCACTCTGACGGCAGGCGGCCGCCAGAGTCCGGCTCACGTTACTGACCGTCCTGTGAGGGGCAGGGGTCACGGGTCAGGGGGAGGGTCAGGGTGAGGTAAGGGTCAATGACTCCAGTGAGGGTCCCTGACCTCTAACAGCCAGTTCACGGTGAGGGGTCGGGTCAGGATGACGGTCAGGGAGAGTCGGAACAGCTGAGCATCATTGGGTCAGGGTCAGGATCACAATATGAGGCGAGACTGGTTAGAAATTCCGAGGAGAATATAAGGCATCAAATCTAGAGGAGGAGCAGCTAATCATACAGTAAAAGGGTGAAAATATGGCACTGTAATAAGCTCGAGAATAATGAAGTATCAAGACAGCTCCAACATGCAGAGTCTGATGTTAAGCCATAGCACAGGCACCGGCACCGTCCTACCCAACATTCCTCGGGCTGCCGAGCCCGGCTCACTCACCGGGCGGGCACGATCTCGACGTCTTTGGCGAGCTCCTCCTGGATCAGAGCGATAATGTCCGAGAGAACCTGGAGACCGCCGGCGGCACACAGCGAGAGCTGGTCGGCTGATATCTGCCGCGGGGAAGAGGGAGGTGGGGGGTCAGAGCACCGCGAGACCAGCGGCGGCATACAGAGAGTTGGCCGGTAGCGATCTGCGACGGGGCAGGGGGTGGGTGGGAGAGGGGGGGTTAGAACACAGAAAGGTGTGGTTAACGCACTGTGAGACTGGGATTGAAACACTGGGGTTAGAGCAACGGATACCAGGAGCTGGTCGGCCGCAGTCTACCACAGGGGGTTGGAGACAGTTACAGGGAATCTAATGGCCGTATTCAGCTCCATAAAAACACAGCTCAAGCACTCTTTCCTATCCCCCTACTCCACACCACTACTCCAATCCCCGGCGTCACGTCTTACCCCCTTGTCGAGGATGCGCAGCATTTCGCCGAGGGTGCGGTCCAGCGCCGAGACAGCTGCGTTGGGCCACGGCCCGCGCCCCTGGCCAGAGACCACCTTACTCAGGTCCTTCACACACTTGGCGAGCTTGGCGCGGTGCGGAGACTCGACCGGCGCCGGGCGAGCCTGGCTGCTGCGGGCGTACTCCTGCTGTCTGCGGGCGGGGGAGGGAGGGCGGTCAGCGACGGAGGGAGAGGGTCTGACACCAAACAGAGAGAAAAGTCAGGGATGGGGTAAGCATGAGAGTGGGCGAGAGCGGACCCGAAGCCGAGGGAAAGTGAGGGGGACACTGTGGCAGGGACGGATTATGCAATTATAACCGAGGTAGCTGGGGCGGACATAACCAGCGATTCTGGACTCTCTAAAATATCCATTGTTTATGGAATCGCTAGGTTTTGGTCTGCTTCGCACGATTCAACAGCAGACGTCTGACGCTCATTCATTATTCAATGTTGTTAATACACGTCGCGCCACAGCACAACGTCGACAGCCCGGTTACAAACGACATCCCAGTTTTTGAAACTGCAGCTGTCATCCTCATAAAACAGTATCAGTAGTCAGTACCGGCATTACCAGCACAGAATGAAATAAAACAAGACATAATTTTCTTATTCAATATCCCTCCAACATCCCATCCGCGCCGTGCACCCACCTGGCCACCATGCGCGCCTTGATCTTCTTGCAGCGTTTGCGGAGCGCCTTGTGTCGCTCCTTGTCGAATGTCATGTTGATGATCTGGTGCGGCGCGGCGTCGGTGATGTGCCGCAGGTTGTAGAGCAGCAGTTCCTCGCCGGCCAGGTCGGAGCCGGCGGCGGCGCGCACCGCTTCCTGGTGCTGCCGGCCGCGCAGGTGGGTGAGCAGGTACACCTCGGAGCCGATCTGAAACAGACGGGGGAGAGCGAGGGTGTCAGAGCAGCAGGTACACCTCCGAGCCAATCTGAAATAGACAATGAGAAACGGGATAGAACACTGTGTCAGAGCAGCCGGACAGGGAGAGAGGACAGTGCCAGGTTCACAGGAGTAACTCCAAGGCAGATTGTGCGCTCAGCCGGGCAGGGACGGGGCAGGTCTAAGATAAACTGGGTTCGCCCGGTCATCACGCCACTTGACTGATCACATCCTGATTGTGCGCAGACGCAGGCTATCCCTATCCTCCATTCCCGCTCACTCCCCCTGACCTCCCCGTCCCCGTCGCCCCACTGACCAGCACGTTGCAGAGTGTGCACATTTTCTTGGTGTCGTAGGGCGCCAGCTGGGCGGCCGTGTCGTCTCCCCCGGCCGCGGCGCTGCGCACACTCAGCTCCAGGGCGCGCTGTCGGATCTGCACCATGTTCTCCTCGTGGCGCCGCGCCGACTCCTCCTGCTTCTGCTGGATCCGCCGCTGCAGCTCCTCCGTGTTGGCCTGTTGCGCGGCGTGCAGAGCGGAGCGGCGCTCGTCCCGGTCCCTGCCGAGGAGCAGAGGAAAGGTCAACTACTGCCATAACGGAGGGTGGTCAGTCAGCGTCTGCCGCGGGGAAAGACAGCACATAGGTACGTCAGTTCATCAGTTGCTGCCTACCCGGTGTAGAGGCGGACGCTAATGCAACATATTCCAACGTCTTAGTTGCATGTTTGTATGACAAAATCTGACAGGATGATCAAGATCATACCCTGTTCTTGCTTTCTATTTCGAGCTTTCTATCCGATCCCACGTGTACCCTCCCCCGCTCCGCCTCTGGCACCCACCGCTGTTTCTCTCTGGCCATTTCGAGTCGCTCCTTCTCCTTGTCTCGCTGCTCGCGGTGGATCCGCTCCAGGCGCTCCTTGCGTTTCTGTCTGAGCTCCTCCAGTTTGACGCGCCGCTCCTGCTCCAGGGCTCGGCGTTTCTCCTCCACGGCGGCCTCCTTGGCGGCCTTCTCCTCCTGTCGGCGCTGCCGCTCCTCCTGGATCCCGGCCAGACGCGCCTCCTGGGTCTGGGGGCAATACGGGGTACACGTCAGCGTGCAGGAAGCCGGGTAGAACACACGGTACAGGGTGCCTCCTAGGCCTCAGGGTCGCACTGAAGTTAATACCGACAATGGACGTCTACTTGGTGACTGTTTTTTTTTTTTTTTTTGTCAGGTACCGGGTATGTACCAGTGTCAGGTAGTATGCAGAACGTGAAGAGCGCACGGGTTTGAACATCGACATGGCTATTCAACCTCCTCCCATACCCACCATCCGCGGCAACAGAAACCCACCTGAATTTGCGAGTAGAACTCGTGTCGTTTGTTCTTGGCCTCGAGCTCGTTAATGAAGGCGATCTCCTTGGCCTTTTCCTCCTCGTCGTGGGCGCGGCGCACGATATCCTGCAGGTGCTTACGACGCTTCTCCTCGGCGCGGGCCATCTTCCGCTCCAGCATCAGCCGGCGCTGCTCGAGCAGCTGCTCCTTCTGCTGACGCACCTCCTCGATCTGAGGGGTGAGGCCAGGGTAAAGGCGAGTGAGTGGTGAAGGATGCGGGTGGGAAGGATGGCGGTAGGGGGGGGGGGGGGGCAGAGAGCGAGCATATCAAATCGAGCATTTTGTACGCGATTTTGTTACGCGATAGTTTTATCTAAAACAACGCCGAAATGCGTAATGTAGCAGACATAAAGGATGAACTTCAGCGCTCCTGGCGACTATCGGCAACATCGCCCGTTCATCTATAGGGTACCAGCCTCAGCAGCTCGTCCCCAGCCCAATCGCCTGACCGTCCCCAGCCTCATCAGCCCGTCTCCAGTCCGATCACATCACCGCCGTACCTTGATGCTGATTTCGCTGAGTTTCTGCGTCTTGCGGTCCATCAGTGTGCGCCTCATCCTGCTGGCCTTCTGCTGTCGCTCCTGGTGTAGCCGAATGGTCTCCGAGAGCGCCTTCTTGCGGCTCGGCGAGGAGAGCTTCTCGTGCATCTGCAGGCCGCGGCCGGGCGTCCGGCTGGAGAGCTCCTCTAGCTCCTCCAGTAGGTCCATACGGTCACCCCAGGACAGACCTGAAGGGCAGAGGGTAGGGGTCAGGTCACAGCAGATCCATACGGTCACCCCAGGAGAGGCCTGGAGGGTAAGAGATAGTGTCAGGTCGCAATAGGTTCGTCCAGTCACCCCACGACAAACCTGTCAGCGGCAGCGGCGGAGTTAGGTCTCAAACTCCGCACACCAGCAAACTGTCCCTGATCTTGCTCACAGCTCACACCCAACCCACCGCCCCACGTCAGAATCGTGCCAGCGACTGTACCCAACTCCCCTCCCCCGGCACTCCACCCGGTACTCACTGTCGAGTTCTGGCGCGTACTGGTCCTCGATGAGACTGCGGCTGGGCGGCTCGGTCGGGCCGCCGTCGCCCTCACACTCTGTGTCGATCGAGGTCGAGTCGCCGTCCGTCTCCGTGTCTACCTGAGAGGGGTAGCGAGGGAGGTGAGCGTAAGAGTTGGAAAAATGGAATGGCAGGTGATTGGAATTCATGTAGTCCATGACTGGTGACTAGCTGTCGCACTTTCACGTCGACCCGTCGCGGCTGCGGGGCGCGTGTCGGGTCGCGGCCGGCCGGCCGCGGACCATTTTCAGAAGTGGCGGGCAGACCGTGCGTCGAGTACTTGCTTTCTCGCGCGGCGGTACTGGGGTTCACTAGCATTGTTTAAAATATTTTCATTTGCAATGAACTTGATATTATACACTGTAATTAACGATCATTTGTCAATTGTCAATTATTACAAGTTCTTCAAAATTCTTCTTTGAAAGCAACTGATTTCATTTCACTCAAGAATTGTCTTGTCCACCACTACAACCGCCACCCAGCCGCCATCCATTGGAAGAGATAGGCTCTGCGGCACAAAGTGTCGTTTTAAACTGGACTGGGAACCAATGTGTGATGACATTTCGAGCTAAATTTATGCTCATTGTGTACCTAGAAGCATTGGGATTAACGCTCTGACTGTACATTTTTAGATTTTTGACTCTAAATGAAAATATTTACAATCAAGTACTTTGCGAGCGCAGTTTAGAATCTCCCGTAATGTTAAAGTCCTATCTCCTACAAGTATGTAAATACTGCTCTAGGGAACCAACAGTTCGCATCGTACTAGCTTTAAATTATATCCATATTGTTCCCAGTACTTTGCTGAACACTGTGGTGAGTGTACATTTTTCGTTTTTTGCTTTACAAGCGTAAAATTCGTCTGGTTTTACACCACTTCATTCGCCTCCATAGCCCGGTAACGGCGCCGCGCGGCGCGGCCGGCCGGCGCACGCTGTAGTTTCAAACACTGCCCGATAGATGGCAGGCGCAGAAGTGGTCCCAGCCGTCCCGGTACGGCCGACCTGGGTGGCTGCCTTGGAGGCCGGCTACCTTCGCCATAGGGAGCTTCTCGGCTATGGTCCTCCGTAAGGAGGTCCCAGGGGAAGAACAACCACAACAACAGCTGTCGCACTGAGCATATGATACAATATAAATAGGTACGTACGCGTATAATTGCTGATAGGCTACTGGCATTTGATTCCTATAGTCTGACTCCTCACGAATAACTGTAAGTCATTTATAGCCCGCCGTATCTATTAGCCCGCCGTACCTATAGCCCGCTGTACCTATAGCCCGCCCTTCCCCGCACCCTCACCTCGATGACACAGCTCTCCGTCTCGGCCAGCTGCTGCTCCAGATGCCTCTCTGCCACGATGGCCGACTCGAGCGCCCGCTCCGCCTGTACCATCTCCTCGTCCACGCTGTCCTCATCCAGCTCCGGCGAGGTCAGGTCGCGCGCGGACGTCAGGGGGGACACGACCGCCGCCGGCGACGGAGCAGAGGTGGAGGAGGGCTCGGCAGGGATAGAGATGGAGAGCGCGGCGGCGGTAGTGGTGGTGGTCGAAGTGGCTGTCGTATCGATGGCAGTGACGGTGGTGGTTTCGGTGGCGGTAGCGTCGGTGCTGGTTGCTGTGACCGTAGTTCCTCTCTCTGTAGTAGTTGTGGGGTTCGTGGAGTCCGTGTTGGCAGTAGAGGCAGCGACAGACACTGTTGTAGTTTCTGCATCGCCAGCGTTGACCGTTGAAACAGCTGCCGGCGTGAGCTCTAACGTCCCGGACGATGGTGCAGACACGTCGCTCGGGTTCTGACGGACGTCGGAAGGTACCGTAGAGTCGCCACGACTGGCGTCAGGCACCCTGAAACCAAAACAAACCCAAATGACTGTTATACCTGTTCACACGTACATAATTTTCTATCATAATGGTAGCAGGGGATGTGATTCGAATTCTGCTTGGTGTAAATTCTTGAGTCGTTTTATAAGAATGCTTGGCATACATAACTCATGGAAGCACCAATTCAAAAACCTTTCTATACGAACACCGCTTCAACTTACTTTCGCTCGTCTGCGCTCGTTCCGTTCGACCTTGTCTTTCCCCCAGTCGCCACCACCGGCGCCTCCCCTCCTCCGCCCGCGGTACCGGGCACCCTCTCGCGGGACCTCCGGAGCGCCGGGCTGTCGGGAGGCGGTGGCGGCGGTGGCGCGGCGGCGCGGGCGGCGCCCCGTCCCACGGCCGCCCGGCGCGCCACCCGCTCACTGACACCGCTGGGCCGGCGCTCGGCGCGCTCCACCGCCGGCTGGCCGGCCGCCGCCGCCAGGGAGGGCAGCGACACGGCTGAGGTGGGCTGGTGGAACCGGGCGCGGGCGCTGTACGGCCGGCCGCCGCCGCCGCAGGCCGCCTCCGCCGAGCCCTTACGCTGCCGGCGACAGGGTACAGATTAAGTGTGAGAACAGCAACACAACATATTGGGAGCTCGTAACAGCAAAGTCAAAATACGCAAAACGCCTTGAAAATCCCCAGTCAGAGCCCTCCCACATCCTGTATTGGAGCGTATAGTATGTTCAATGTAATCTTCACGAATCTCACCTGCAGTGGCGCCCTGACCTGGCCCTGGTTCAGAGAGGATAGTCGGGACCGCGAGCGGCTCTTCACGGTCTCCCAGCCCCCGCCGTCATCTGGAACACGCAGATCGGGTCACTACTCACTATTCGAGGAGGGAGTAAATCGTGCCAAGCCGGTAGGCGACGCGGTAGTAGATCGTCTTCGAAACTCATGGTCTGGTTGCACTGAGATCCGGCGTTTATGCGATGCACATTGGATATAAGCATTTCATGGCGTCGACGAAAACAGTGATTGAGGGCACAAGCATATTGATTGTAGCAGCATTTCCCATTGCGTATCACTATCGACATGAGAGCACTCTCCACCTCCCCAGCCCTCTGATCAGCTGACCCAAGGCTATAGCAGACCGTTGCACCTACCGTCGGAGGGCGCGGCGGGCACGGTGCCGCCGGCCGGGTCAGCAGTCTCCGCCGCCGCGGGGGCGGCCGCGGGCCCGGCCAGCGCGGCGGGCGGCGGCGGCCCGGCCGGGGCGGCCACCCCACGCACCCGGTCCGCCCAGCTGTGTCCCGAGGAGGAGGCCGTCGAGCTCAGTGACGAGTTAGAGCGTGACTTGACACAGCTCGAGTACAGCTGGGCAGGCGACGGGCGCGGCTCCGCGGAGCACACCGTGGCTGAGCGCTGCAGGGCGGTCGGCCCGCCGCGGCCGGGACCGGCGGAGACGGGACGGCCGGCGGCGGCGGCGGCGGCAGCGCGACCCACGGCCGCTGACCGCACCACGGGCGGAGGACCGGCGGCTCGGGACGCTCCGCCGCGCGCCGCCCTCCGAGCGGCCAGCCCCGGCCGCTCCGGGCGGGTGGCGCTCGCGGCAGAGGAGACCGCAGTGCCCCGGCCCGCCGGCTGGAGACAGAAGGCAGGAGTTACACAAAGAAAATAAAAATAGCTTTCACCGTCACACGATCCTGATTTAAAGAAGCAGAAGTTCATTAGTTGGATAACGACCAGTCATATGATGAATATAATGAGACAATTAATATGGGTAAGAACTATAAGAAACGGTAAGCGATAAAAAATATGAAGTCGCCTTTTCAGAATTATAACGTTATAACTGCAGACCACATTAACATCCAGGAGCAGTCCAGCAGCCATCACATTTTCCCTCCCGCTGATCTCTGGCTGCCGTTGCCGGTGTGCAGCCCCTGCTGCCGTCGCCGCTCTCACCTGAGTCGGTCCCGGTCGGGTGGGCGCCTTCTGTTCCGCCCTGCCCGCAGCGCCGGCCGCTGCTGAGGCCGGGCGGGTGGCCGTCCCGCGCCCTCCGCCGCGGGGTGAGACCCCGGACCCGGTGCGGCTGGAGACGCCCACCGAGGCGGCGGCGCGCCCTCCCCGGGCCCGGGCCGCCGTCCGCGCGCGGGTCGGCTTCGGCGCGCCGTCATGAGTCGTCTCCGGCCCCGCCGCCGGCTGAGACGGGGGCTGAGACTGTGCAGGCGGCGGCGAGCCGCGGGCGGGCCGGTCTTCCACCCGCTCCGCCTCCGACTCGGCCGGGGGCGGGGCCGGGGGCGGGGGCGGTCGCGCGGTGTCCGCCGGCGTCTCCGGCGAGCCCATGGCCGATCGCAGCGCCTGCTCCAGGTAGCGGCCGACGGCGGCGTCCGGCTCGGCGCGTACGCTGCCGGACGACACCGAGTCGGGCCGCGAGTGACGCTCCTCGAACGCCAGCTGTTTGCGGCTCAGCTCCCCGACCAGCCGGCGCTCGACCAGCGCCATCGGCAGCTGCTGCCGACAGCGGCCGGACGTCAGATGGATAACCGGAGAGCGTCAACGCCCAACCGTTATGGCTGAAACAGACTCTTTCCGCAGTCAGGAAATCGCATGCGAGAGCCTATTCAAATACATGGAGGCACGCTCGCATCAGTCGCACGCACCTCCCGGATGCGATTAATGCGGGAAGAATTATAATGTATTTGAACAGGCTCTCGCATGCGATTTACTGAACGCGGAAAGTCTGTTTCAGTCTTTGGACGAGTGATAATCCATGAGCATCAGCGACAGAACTGGCCGTCCGACGCGCTATAATTGGGAATCGTCGGCGGCAGCGGAGGCATATTATTACACGGGGAGCTTCAGCGGTACCGGCGTATCGTCAGACATATAATAAATAGGGAGCATCACTAGTAGACGCGGAGACACATACTAACTATAAAGCTTTCAGCAGTCAGTGTGGGGACAACCTTAAATGATCGTCCTTGCACACTATGTCGCTTCCACACATGTCTGTAGCAGGCAGCCGCGTTCGGCGCGTGCCTAACCGACCTTGCCGGGCGACGTTTTGCGGATCTCCCAGGCCACCGAAGCGGGACGCTGCGGCTTCGGCGTGTGGTCGTACTCCCACTTGATCTTCAGCCACTCGATCAGGTTTCGGAAGTCCTGAGTGCATCGCTCCAGGATCATTATTGTTTCCTGGAAATAAGCCAAACAGCACACTGAATACGGATCGGCGCGGCTGGATTAAATTTTCGTAGATTGTCCGGACCGATTTTATGTCCGGGCCTCTCCGGGCCGATTTTATTAATCGGTGACATGACTAATGATCATAACTCCGACACTGGTGCAAGTTAATGGAAAATGCCGTAGGAGGGAACAACAAGATCAGGTGTAGTCGGACGAGGAAAACATTTGCGGGAATGACGAATAGCGGAAGAAGAAAGAACACATGACAATAAGGGTGCGAAGGTTCGCCAAAGCGTGGAATAAAATTCACGGGAAAAATGTGCGTGAATGGTGAAAATGGAACTGCAGACGAAAAATTGCAAAGACCGGTTAATACGAGAAGAAATGCGGCAACGAAGAAGTGTCGATATGATTACCGATCTCGTGAAACAAAAATGTGATACGAAAACATGCGGCTGCCGGCGACGAATATAGGACGTATGTGGACTGTGGTCGGAGGTTTCACGAAATGCACCTATAAGCTCGGTCCAGCTTTGTAAGCCCCATCCCCCACCACCAACTCCACACACACATTAACGCAGTACTCACCTTACACTCGAGCACGCTGTCGTCAGTCTCACACGTCTGGTAGATCTCGTCCACGGCGCGGCGCAGGTTCTCAAACAGAAACGTCCAGTAGCGCGCGTGCAGGTCCTTGGCAGAGCCCCGTCCGGCCGACACGGAGCGCGCGCGGCCGCGTTTGCGCGCGGCGCTGGCGGCGGCAGCGCGCGTCGGCGGCCGCTCCTCCTGGGTACCGGGTCCGGGCCGGCCGGCGCGCGGCGAGGCCGCCGGCTGACGGCGGGCCGAGCGCAGCACTGCAGAGCAGGGGTTAGGAGGAGTGTGAGGGGAGAGAGAGTAGGGAAGAAAAGAGTCCTTATGGGAATGAAGAAAGAATGAAAAGACTTTCAATAGGTATAGGATGCCATTTCATGGACGGTCAAATATCTTTCTATTTGAAAGATCTATTTTCTATTTCGCACACTGTATAAGAAAGAGAACTTCTGATGATCTTTTAAATATTCCTGACATTAGCTGATGCTAGCTCAGGGCATGGTCAAAGTGCAGCACCTACTTGCAGCAGCATAGAAGCATTACTAACACACCTGAACCAGGGCTTTTGTTGTCCACCAGGACATTGAAAACGAGCAGATTCCTGGCAGCGCGCCCCTCCTCCTGCACAAGCACACGGACGTCGGAGGCAGCTGAGGGCTCGGTGCGGGTCACTGGTAGATTAGTGTGGCCATCTAGCTTCTCCTCAAGGCCAGCTGATGGTGCTGGAGCAGTCGGTGGAGTCGCCATACCAGTGGCAGTGTCGGTTACTGATTGCTGTACTACTCCAGAGATGCTGAACTGTTGGAAAAAAAGGGAACTTCAGATTAATGGACAACACATCATGTCAACAATGAAAATGCTTGGTTATAATGGCCTCTCCGACCCAGGAAAATGCTCAACTTTAAAAAAGAGTCCATGCCCACCGAGTTATATAGGTACACACACTCTGTGAAATCGCAATCCAGAGTAAATCGAGTAAATCACCACAGGCATGATAATACAAACTGATAGCACAAATCAAAATATCCTTGATAGCATCAGCATTGTCCAATGCTATGTTGATATAAACCGACTACACAGATAGCGTCAAGGTACACAATCAAACTAATATATTGATACCCACCCTTTGTTTCAGTTGGGGGAGGTTTGGTCAATGGTTGTCATTTTTAGCACATGCCATTTTTGGCAACCATGTGCTAAAAATGACAACGCTATCAGCTATTTTTAGCAACGATGAAGCCGATTTCACTCCTCAGCGAGGAAATCACGATTTTGGAAATACAAGCACTGATTTTGGAAAAGAAGTGCTGCCACCTGGTGCAAGAAGAAGAAACCAGCTTTAATATGGCCGTTGTTTGTATGGTAGTCCAACGTTGAAGTATACCCTTTTTTGTGGCCCGAAGTTGGAACTTTAAATTGAAGCATCCGAAAATGATCGATATTGATCGAAATCATGATGTTGATGAAAAAAATAATATGTTAAGTTGAGAGAGGAGGCCATTTTATCCAGATGCGGTGGTTTACTTCTTGAAATTATTTTTGCTTACGACGACTGCCATGTAATGAGGGATAATTAGCAGCCGTCATTAGCAAAAATAATTTCAAGAAGTAAACTACTGCATCTGGATAAAATGGCCTCCTCTCTCAACTTAAAATATTATTTTTTTCATCAACATCATGTTTTCGATCAATATCGATCATTTTCGGATGCTTCAATTTTAAGTTCCAACTTCAGGCCACAAAACAAACTACCATACAAATAACAGGCATATTAAAGCTGGATTCTTCGTCTTGCACCAGGTGGCAGCACTTCTTTTCCAAAATCAGTGTTTATCTTTCCAAAATCTTCATTTCCTCGCTGAGGAACGGTCGTCAAGTTAGATGTAAGTGAATCCTAATCTATAATCTAAGATTCGGAATCAGGTGAGCCCCTACGATTTGGACCAAACTTGGTCAGTGGATAGTACGTAACGTCCTGATAACGATGCACCCAAAATCTAAGCTCGGCCCGCCATATTTACGAAGTTACGGATGTTTGAATTTCAAGGTCATTCAGGAGAGCCCCTACGATTTCCGTCAAAATTTGTGTACGGACACTCTAGATGCTCCTCATTACGAATATCACAAAATTTAAGCTCGGCCCGCCATATTTACGAAGTTACGGAGGTTTGAATTTCAAGGCCATTTGGGTGAGCCCCTGCGATTTCCGTCAAAATTGGTATACGGACATATTACATCCTCCTCATTACAAATATCATAAAAGTTAAGCTCGGCCCGCCATATTTTTCAAGTTACGGAGTCACAAAGTTACGGAATTTCAAGGTCATTCGGAGAGCCCCTCCGATTTTCGTCAAAATTTGTATGCGGACACATTACATGCTCCTCATTACGAATATCGTAAAAGCTAAGCTCGGCCCGCACTATTTCAAAAGTTAGAGATGTTTGAATTTCAGTGAGTTTCAAACGTCAGTAACTTTTGAAATAGTGCGGGCCGAGCTTAGCTTTTACGATATTCGTAATTAGGAGCATGTAATGTGTCCGCATACAAATTTTGACGAAAATCGGAGGGGCTCTCCGAATGACCTTGAAATTCCGTAACTTTGTGACTCCGTAACTTGAAAAATATGGCGGGCCGAGCTTAACTTTTATGATATTTGTAATGAGGAGGATGTAATATGTCCGTATACCAATTTTGACGGAAATCGCAGGGGCTCACCCAAATGACCTTGAAATTCAAACCTCTGTAACTTCGTAAATATGGCGGGCCGAGCTTAAAGGGACCCTCCCACCTTCAAAAAAGTTCATGAATTGGCATGAAAGTGATGTCGCTCGGTTCAGAAAGAGCAAAAACGAATATCTACCAAATTTCATCGAAAAATATTTACCGGTTTTCAAGATATTATACTTTTACTTTTGTTTACTTTTTGGGATCTCCGCTGTTCCTAGCGACTTTATTTGAAAGTGCGGCATTTGTTGCGCGCAAAGCAGCATATACCACTGCGTGCTACAAAACGTTTTAGTCAAACATTTAACGGACGTTCGAAAGCCTGATGACGTCATCAGATTCCCGTAATGGTTAAGAGATAGGGACCACGCTGGTCCCACCCTGCAAGTAAAGGGAAGAAATTTCTTGAACACCATAAAACTGCGGGGGTTGCGACCAGGATAAATGGTGGTTTCTGAGCCTGGCCGCAAACTTGGCTATCTCAACTCAAAACTAATGTTAAGGTGGGAGGGTCCCTTTAAATTTTGTGATATTCGTAATGAGGAGCATCTAGAGTGTCCGTACACAAATTTTGACGAAAATCGTAGGGGCTCTCCCGAATGACCTTGAAATTCAAACATCCGTAACTTCGTAAATATGGCGGGCCGAGCTTAGATTTTGGGTGCATCGTAATCAGGACGTTACGTACTATCCACTGACCAAGTTTGGTCCAAATCGTAGGGGCTCACCTGATTCCGAATCTTAGATTATAGATTAGGATTCACTTACATCTAACTTGACGACCGTCGCTGAGGAGTGAAATCGGCCTCATCGTTGTCAAAAATAGCAGAATCGTTGTCATTTTTAGCACGTGTGACAAAAATAGCACGTGCTAAAAATGACAACGATTGACCAAACCTCCCCCGACTGGTTTGCCTTGTTTTCAGAACATTTACATATTACTGTCTTGGTTTATATGCATAATAAACCGACGTATTCATGTAGCAATAGCTAAATAGCTTAAAAAAAATAGCATTGAGCAAAATGACTGTACCACGTACCCAAATTACCTTTTAACCAATCTTATTACGTCATTGTTTATTCACCAATGAACACCTTCCCCTGGAGTTTTTAAAGAACGTAATCCAATGAAATATCCATTACATACCTATGACATCATAGATCCTATTGATTTTTTCAATCGATGTAAATAATCATTTTCTAGCAAATTCGACTTGACGCGCAGCATATTTACGTCTGGACAACGAGTTGCGTTGGAGAGGCCGGAAATAGTGGCGATTTCAGGACCGCAAGAATGGACCGCCATTGGAATGATTCTTTTTTAAACCGTGCACTGTTTTCGGCCGGAATTTAATAGTTACTACAAAATATTTTCTAATTACGTTTCCACCAAGAATGAATGCCATCAGGGCTAAATTTTTACTACTTTTGCATTTTGTCAAGAAGCATAAAGTGCTGTTATATTGCAGTTTTTGCGCGTTTGTTACAAAATATGAAGCGAATTAGCGTCAGTGTTATTCATCAGTGCCAGAAGTTAACTTGAGGAGAAGCTGTGGCAATTGCTCTTGTCCATCCACTAGAAGTTATTAAATATTTTGCTTTGTGTATTCCAAAAGGAGTGGGAACTATTTTACTTGTGCCTTCATGTCAGAATTGAAGGTGGATCATTAAATTTTCAAGGCAGTTTATAAACAAGCATTTGGTCTTTCTCGTATATAAGCAGTGGCTAAGAAGAAAAGGTTGATCAATCCTGAAGTTCAGTCATCGTACCTCAACTTGGCAGCAAGATCCCCAAGGACAGAGGTTATATTGTATACCTGTCCTGTAAATCAAAGCATTTTTGTGCCTGCAAAGGCTTAAGCTATTTGTGGTGTCAGTGTGTTCGGAGTGAGGCTATATGGCCGTTTTTGTTGTATGTTTATGTGGAGATTGAATATAACTGTGACCCTTTGCTTGTTTGTATACTTACTATGGTCAAACAGGGAACAGCACATTCACATAACATACTCACCTAGCACCTAACTCATTGCTGTACCCTGCAGGATCTGCACTTGTTCATGTCTCGAGCATTAACAAAGCACTAAAGTAGCTTAGTAATCATTTCCCACATTTTCTGAGCATCTAACATGACATACAGCAGTGCAGAGCAGCTTCAGAGAAGAAACACTTTCAATGCACAGACTCACACCAGCCACCCAATGAGCCAGTTCCTCAGTTGACTGTTTCCCTGGATGCAGCTTGGCAAGGTGAGCTAACTATAGGCAAGTTGAAGGTTAGCAGGTAAGATTGAGTTAGGGTGAGTACCTACCTATAACTGGGTGCTTCTGCTATGCAGGTCTTGGGTAAGGCTGCAAATATGTGTGATGATTGAGGTTAGGTCAGCTGTCAGGTTATATTCAGGTATGCTCATTGCTCAGGTCACATTTTTTTGGACACTTCGCAAATTAAAAAACTAGCATAACCTAATCTAAGCTAACTCGACTAAACCTACACAACTGCTGACTATAGGAACTAAGCACCTACCTACTTGTGCCTACATCTCATACCATGTCAAAACTCAAAGTAGAGTTCCTTGGTGGAAGATTACCCTCAGTACTTTTTATCCCAGCCCTGTGAAGAAAAGAAAACTAATGCTTCTAAGCTGTGAGTCACTGCTGGCCATCCACAGGAAGAAACGCTGAGACTGAGAGCTTTGCCATTGTATATTGGACCAACAATCATGAATCACTATCATGAATGACTATGAACACATCATATGATCACATCGTTGCATGGATTGTCACATTGACAATTTTGTCACTAACAATCCTTTTTTCAAGAAATACAGTAATGATTAACATCAAAATCAGCATTAAGTGGATTTGGTGATCCAAGCTTTCTCCTCCAGTTGCAGTAGCAATGAAATGATCGCATGTTTCATTTGCCAGACACTGAGTAGGATGCACATTACAATCTGCACAGCATCTAAGCATAGTAAAGCTGCCAAAGTCCATTCATTCTAGATTTTTAACTTGATAGTTAGCACTAATTTATCTTGCTGTTGTAAGTTATCATTCAATATTCATACCAATACATCAATATGCACTCATCAGTCAACATTTTCTAGCATGATCCTGCTCAGCGTGCTCTTCAGTATTGCTCCAGGATCTGCAATATTATAGCTTGTTTTCGGCCAATAAGCTCTTTTAATTTTACTTTTTTTGCTGATATATGAGCCCGATCAACTTGCGTTTATCAACCAAAATTTAATAACTTCAAGTTCAACTTGATATTGATATTGCTCAGGAGTCAGGACCTCTGTCAGCCTCCTGGATAGTTCGGATTGTTTTCAGTCACATGCTTCTTAAATATGATATAAGTCAATCTTAATGGATCCAAAACATCCAACAAAACGACGTACAAGAGTACGGAAACCACCAGATAAACTTAAAAAGCGCCTTGGAACAGAGCCAAGTGGTCTTTTCCATTTGCTTGTTTACAATGATTGTAGTGCTGATGTATTTTTAGGACTCTGAAGGTCGGCTTATAAAAATGAAACGTTTTTACAAAAGTTGTAAGGCAAGTAATATTTATCTGAAAGAACTAAAATATTCAAAAGCCAAACACTATGAAATACATGAATCGGAACGAAAAAGTAACCCAAAAATCCAGCCTTATCACCGGCTCCTAAAACTGCAACAAAATCAGCACTTTTCCCCGCAACTCGTTGTCCAGACGTAAATATGCTGACGGCGCACTCCCTAGTAGCACACAACATTGATACAACATTGAGATATGTTGAAATCAGGTTGATTGTCAATATTGGTGCTTCAACACGAATTCAACATTGATTCAACGTTGATATCACGTTGATATTTGGTTGTGCTTTGTCGAATCTTGGTTGAAGTTCAACATTGTAGTTCAACATCGATACAACATTGTCCCAATGTTGAGTTCACAATATCGACAGAGGTAGAATTTCAACGTTGTGATTCAACATTGATACAACATTGTCACGATGTTGATTTCACAATATTGATAAAAGTAGAGTTCCAACATTGTGATTTAATTACTATATTGCCCCGCAGTTGTGTTGACACTTGACAGCATTAAAGAGGGCAAATGCCCCCCGGGTGTAAGGGGTCCCATGGGCTGGCTCGACATGTCCTAAGGCGCCAATCGGACTTTAAGGTGGGATCACTGAGGTTCCAAATAGACGAATATGGTCGTATAGAAATAGTACCTATTGGTATCTTAAATAGGCATATACGTCTTGAATATGATATATAGAGAGTTATAAAGTGAAAGATAGCTCCACTTCATAAAATCCTTTTATAACATCCTCAACCTGCGTTGAATTAAGCGGCGTTATTGGATCGGCATTATTTCATTCGGGTGCCACCGGTGCTATTCAAGTATCACGGTAGTTAGTGCCTTGGTCCCCTCCCACCAGTCGTGCGCTGTGCTCTTTCAGAGACCGTACCGACTGGAATCTAGCGACCGCTGGGCGCTGACCGTTTTGAAGACTGTACGCGGCCGGCAGCGGGCGGTCCCATCCTCGCCTCCGGCTAGAGAGGGGGAGACCGCGACAGGGGACCGCGCGTCCCCCGTCCAATTGTGCCGGCTCGCAGAGTGCGGACGGGTGTGTTGAGTCATTGAGTGTGTTGTGTCCAGTGTCGTCTGGCGTCTCCTCTTTCGATCCGACCATGTAGGTTTCCACCAGTTTCTGCTGTGTGACAATCAGTGCATTTATCCTAGTTATTGCAGTGATAAGTTAAAAAAAACTGGCGCTGAAACGTTCTCTTCAAAATGGTGGCGATCACCGTCGTCACTCACTTGCTTGCGGCAAAGAGAAAAAGTGCTGCCGGTGGCGTCATGTAGCGTCATGACTTGAAACAGGGCCCGGTAAGTATCAAAGAATAGATTCATGGTAGTAGGACGTATAGGTACATGCGTGATGCTAAATGCACTTACATAAATATCTATTACCTATCAGAGCTGAAAATGACTGAACTGAATTTACTCCTAATTTATTACCGTTGTTACATAGGAATCTCCTCTTTGTTACAGGAGTGCGAGGCTCGACAGGCGACTCAACCCCCACGGCCCTGACTCAACCGCTCAAGATGTGAAGATGGCGGAGACTGAGCGGCGGCCGAGGTTGTGTGACGTGATATGTGAAGTGTAACTGACTCGAAAAAAGTGAAGAACTGTGCATATATCATAGAAATACATTTTTCACCGAATATTGACTGTGACGGTGACGCTGGAATATTTTAGGTCATTACGGGATACGGGATTTCGTACACGTATAGGTCTGTCCACAACAACATCGAGACAATGTTGTATCAACATCGAGACAATGTTGAATCAACCAAGAATCAGCATCGAGACAATGTTGTATCAACATCGAGACAATGTTGAATCAACCAAAAATCAACATCGAGACAATGTTGTATCAACATCGAAACAATGTTGTACAAAGTTGTCCTGTCAATATTGATACGATGTCGAAATTCAACATCGTATCAATGTCGAAAGTGGCTAACAGAATTACATCGATACAACATTGTTGTCAATATTGATACAACATCGATACAATATTGATGTGCTACTAGGGCTCGCCAGCACTCGCGTGGTTCGCGTGCACACGGCCGCGTGGGCGCGCGCGTGGAGTGCGTTACGGCCTTGGAGTGCGTGTTGCAGAGTGGGACCAAGGCTATATAAACCAGGTAGAACGTTCCCGACGAAAAAGTGGTGACAAGCGATAATTAGTAGCCGCGACCCTCACTTGTTCAAAACTATATCCGCAAGCAGCATTTACAGGCTAGCGGAAATCGACCAATCGGCGTTCGGCAATACTCGACGCTGATTGGCCCGATGCTCGTGACGAAATTGCGGGGGACTGTAGCTATTCCCCTATGGCGTTTAATAGACTTACGGCTTTTGAAGGGGATTTATACCAGTTTTTGTTGGGTTTGAGGCCATTTTTGAGCTTGGATATTCTTTCTGTGACTTTTGACTGTGTAATAACGACATTTAATCATGACATTCTATATACTACCGGTGTCACATCGGCCAAAAAGACCGTAAGTACATGGGATAGACGGACCACTGCTGATGGGGCCACACATGTCGGCGTGTGGTCATCGGAGGTCCGTGAGGGTTCGACATAGACCCTTCATGGGTCGGTATAGGCCCGGTGGGTCCAGTGTGCAAGCCTATCGGGGGCCGGTGCTGACCCAACAGGGCCCAGTGGCATATAATGTAAGGCTGTCTAGGCCGACGTTGAGGGCTCATGGGGGCCATATAGGACCAATAGGGACCACATCAGTCAATCAGGGGCCATTTAGGCCAATAAAGGCACTTCAGGGGACTTGAAAAGGTCATTCAAGAGCTGTGGTGGGCCCATGAGGGGACGGCATTGGTCCAGCAGGTGCAGTCAGGGGATGTGCCCGATGTTGTACGGGTATCTCAGTGGCCCATTTGGGCATATCAGTGACCAATTTGGACCCAGCAGAGGGCTTTGTAGACCTATCAGGGGCTGGTGATGGTTCATCAGGGGCCAGCGTTAGTCCATCGGGGCACGGCATATGCCCATCAGAGGTAATTGCGAGCCCACGCTGAACAATGATGGCCCTTCAACGGCCCCTAATGGATCTACATTGACCCATGGGCCATGATGTGTCATGTATGCCCCTATGACAGGCCTACTCAGACCCCTGATGGACATTCCCGGCCTCTGATGACCCTATACTGAATGCTAAAGGGGCTCTAAGTTTCTCCAATAACCCTTCGTCAACCCATTATTACCATACGCTGGCACTAGGGGCCCCACATCAGCCGCAGGGCAGTCCGTGCCATGACAGCATGTCTTTTCGGCCGATATTACATCGGTAATATTTATTAAAATCATGATTTTATGGTGTCATTATATAGCTAACAGTCATAAGAAATATATTTCAACTCGAAAACAGCTCCAAACAGCATATAATTTTAAAGAAACTCCTCCGAAATCCAAAAGCCTATTCGGGTCCATAGAGAATAACTGCGGTCCCCCGCAATTTCGTCACGAGCGTCGGACCAATCAGCGTCGAGTACTGCCGAGCGCTGATTGGTGAATTTTCCGCTAGCGTGTAAGTACTGCTCGCGGAACAAGAGTTCGTCGACAATCCTCCACAAACGTCTGTCACCATTTTTCGTAATGCTAAACAGCCGGAGCGTACCCCCCTGAGTGGGACTATTTGCACCGGTTATATAAATATTTGTTTGTTTGCTGACGCCGTCGAGGATCAAAGTACTGTGGACGTGGATCGTGGGTACCTTGAATTTCCATAGGTATTTACTGAACTTATAGGCTATAGCCCTTGTGAAACTATCTTCAGGACTGATCATGATGGGTAGTTTAGACTGATGGGGACTGATGGGTAGTTTTATGTTAATGCCTACAAAGTTAGGGTAAGCTTGCTTTGCTTTAATTAAATAGGATACCATTCTGAGTTTTACATTTCCTGTTTGTTTTGCAGCATTGGCATGGGATTTAGGAAGGGTTTGACTCATGACTTGGACTGGAGTGGTCCATGGCATTGGCATATTGGCTAATGGCTGGTGAATCAGAATAATAGGTTTGGGAGAAGGCTGCAGCTTCTCCGAGAAGCTGCAGCGATCAACGCAATTGATGTCATATTGGGATAAATAACAGGCTCATGAATCTTTGGCATTACAATTACAATTATCTTTATTCAACTGACATTGAATGGCATGGCCGGGTAAATGTCAAGTTTAAGTCCTACGAAGATTTCATTGATAAATTTTTCATATTCTTAAATTATTTGACATCCTGAATCCAAAAATGATACTCATTTGTCTCGCAAATCAAAGAAAAAACATAATCAAACCTGACCTAACCTTACCTACTTACCTATAACCTACCAACCTACAACCTACAAACCTACCCTAACCTAACCTAACCTACAAACCTACCTACCTACAACCGAAAACCTACAAACCTACAACCTAACCTAACCTAACCTAACCTAAAACCTAAAATTTTTGCTGTTTCATATTCGTATTAACAGCGTCACAATTGTAGTTAGGACCTAAACTTGACATATACCGCATGGCCATAGGCCTCGTAAAGCCACAACACTTCCGTGGCGCTACCCACTCTGACTCGCAACTGGTTTTGCTTGTAACGGCCAATGGCCCTTGACACATGGAGACTGCAACAATGAGAGCCAGGATATCAAGATATTTCAATCACTCTAACGCTGCAAACCAAATTCTAATTTTTTGAAGAAAAAAAAGTGATCCCATGTATGCAAGCACATGCACCACAAAGATTCCAGAACAAAGCTTTGTATGGACAATTCCTTTATCTTTGTCTAGTGGTTTTCAACCAGGATTAGAATAAGCATACCATAGCATAACTTAGCATGGCCCTGCCTTGCATGCTGTGGTCTAAGGTTGACACAATGTCGAAGTTAAATTGTAAGGAACAAAGATTTGTGATAATGACAATTTACCTGGCAATGGTGTCATAATATACCACTGTCCTTTCATTAGAAAATAACCCCTTTGTTGACAAAGTCTATTGTGCAAGAAGCTGAGAAGGTCTGTTAATATGGTTTGCTTGGCTCTGTAATTTATATATTGAGCAGCCAATTCAAAAACATATTTTATAAGGCACTAAGATAGTGCAAAGCAGGCTGTTGTGTTTGCTCCCAAGTCCCAACTCAGCCCTAAATTTCCAACTCTACTAAGGTTTCGACCAGAGTGAGAGGCTGTATGTGTTCATTTGGCTTTGGTCTGCTGCAGTACCTACCTACTGGTTGGGATGAATTAAGCCAGACTTCTCTATATATAGAGAAGTTTGTGACTAAGCCAAACAGAATGCCTAGGTATGTGATGCATAAAATCTTGTTTGACATATCTTCTCCACTTAACCCTCGCCCGTATAGGGGGGGGGGGGGTCGAACGGACCCCCCCCCATGGTTTTTCGCGAATAACTCGCGTAAAAAGCGGCCGATCGCGGCGAAACTTTCAGTACCCTCGCGTCCATCAATTTCACACCTACCCTGAAAATTTCATGACCCTGACCCAAATGACCTTTGACCTGTGACCTACTTTTCGAGACCATGTTTGGCTGGAATCGCGATTCGGCGTATGTCGGCTCGCATTAGCCGCGCGTTTGCAGTCTTTTCGTGGTTTCAAGCGTTCAAACATGTGATATGATGTTGCTCCCATGCATTAGGGTGGGTGTCAAGGTCACCTGAAGGTCAGGTCAGGTCATTGACCTTTGATGACCTCGGTTCACTTTTTCGAGTTTTACATGTTTCTAGGCCAGTTTTTGGAGCTGAATTCGAATTTAGCAACCATTTTAACATTTACGAAGTAGTTTTGGTGCCTTCGTAACATGTTACGAAGCTGTCAGAGGCGGTTGCCACCTACTACGAATACCCTTACTGGTTGACCTGACCTGACCTGACCCGACCTGGCCTAAATACATGAAGACATCATCTGTGAGCAAAACTAACATGATATTCGTGATCAGCACCCCGAAAAACCCCATAGCAGCCACACTTTACGACGTTCTAACAGGGTCCGATTTTCCCGCCTTTGGGGTCATTGACCTGACCTGCCAGGTCAACCAATGACCTAGGACCTTAAAATTAGGTATCATCGGCTTCCTCTCGTCACGGGCAACACGCTCGTTTTTTCCGCGAAGCTCTAGCTCGATCAGGGGCGAAACGGCAAGGGGGGGTCCAACGGACCCCCCCCCCCCCCCTATACGTTCGCGGCTGGAAAAACACCAATACGGGCGAGGGTTAACCCTTCCCCACTTTATAATTCACAAGACTCAAATTTCCTCAATCAATGTCATAGGTGCAGGCAGACCTTTGCAGTAGTGTACCAACATGGATTGTCTACTTAAAGTAGAGTTCATGATTCCATAAGCAAATCCATATATGAGAGTTCTGGCCACTGTATGCATGTGCAAAAGTGAGCCAATGCCAATGAGTAAATGTTTTGGCTCTCATATTTTCAGGGGGATTGATCATTGCTGTGCACCTATTTCTTCAGGACAATGGCTCTACCTCAGTTGATGTCCCCAAGTATTCTTAGAAGAGCGGAGTCTGCAAAGAAGAGTCTGTCTGTGACATTTGAGGATTCAGTTCCATTTGACCTGAAAAGTGTGCTACAAGAGGCAGATCAGGGA